TTATTTGTAATATATTTCAAAACTTCTTGTTGAAAAAATGACACTTTTTCAACAAACAAGTTTGCAGCAGTTCCGTGAATAGAGTGAGCTTCTTCGCCCCCAATTTTGAAAAGCTGAACCCATTTCCGAGTCTGGATCACGAAAATGGATGATATGAGAAAAGTTTGGAAAGCTCACGAACATTACAAATTTTCCAGTTCCAGTTTGGTAAATTTTGACATTTTTCGATATGAAGGACGAGTGCGTTCGATCTATTGTGGTTCCGGACATCGCGTTTGTGTTCCTTCAATCGTGTGTCGAGTCACATTTTTCGATATGAAGGACGAGTGCGTTCGATCTATTGTGGTTCCGGACATCGCGTTTGTGTTCCTTCAGTCGTGTGTCGAGTCACAAACGCGATGTTCGGAACCACAATAGATCGAACGCACTCGTCCTTCATATCGAAAAATGTCAAAATTTACCAAACTGGAATAGTGCTCATGTCATTGAAAAAGGCATGTCAAAATCGGTGAGAAAAGCTCTGGAAGCAGCTCACATCTGTTTCCAAGATACAGTGAACGAAAAACCTGGATTCTTCACCTGGGCAAAAGCGGCTGCAATGTTGGCACTAGGAAAAAAATCTTAAACGATTTCTAAACGAAAGGTGATTGGCGAACTTTGAAAGACTCTGAGAAAAGGCGAGCGAATTAAACGTTCCGACATTGACATTGTGACCTGTAGGTACATTCATTATATAATTTAATTTTCAGCATATCAAAAGAACGTGACAAGAACAATAGCGTGATGAATGCCGTTCTCGGTTGAATCAAAGAATGCATTTCGAAACCTGTGCCCGATGTGTCGACTTCAAACGATTTATACCGATTGTTTTTGATACTGTGTTTTTAATTTAACCCTCGCCCGCACATGCCATTTTCCCATCCTAGAACGCACATGGGGGGTGGTTGCCACCCCCCCCCCCGCGCCATTTCGTTCCTGTTGGAGATAGAGCTTAGCGGTAAAGACCAAAAAGATTCTTTGGGAAAAGACGAATCCAACGATACCCAGTTTTACCTTCTCAGGTCAGTCATTGACCTTCCAGGTCAGGTCAAGCTAAAAAATGTTGCTGTTTTGGGTCACCGTTGGATATCAAGTGCGCTGCTTATCAAATACCGATGACGATGCTGTTTTCTGGTGCCAAGCCAGCTAAAACCTCTTTGTCACACTACCCGACCAGAATTTTGCTGCTGAGGTCATTTCAGGTCAAGTTAGGTCAAGGTCAATTATATGTGTTTGTATGTCTGTGTGTGTCTGTGTGTATACTGATGTGTGCACCGATTGTTTTTGGGTCCATATTACATGAAATCATGATCTGAGAAGCTTTTACCAAAAATGCAGTCAAAAAAATTCACAAAAAGTAAATTCCGCTTGCCTAAAACGCAATTATCTTAGATGACCTAGGTTGACCTTGACCCTGACCTTGACCCCTGTACATCGTCGAAAAACATGTTCCATGATAGGTGGGAGGTAATACTGGCAAAAAAGGCCGAAATCAGGGTGTCAAAAGCTCACAAGGCCCATGGCAAACGCAAGATGTTGAGAATTAGCCATTTGGGTCATGACATGACCTGAAATACAAGGTCATATCTCCGAAACCAAAAGTCACAGAAACTTCAAATTTTCAGTGGACATCAAGAAAGGATAGAGGAGCAGCCATACGAAAAATCAGCCCTCTACCTCTAAAAATGTTGAGTGCAGAGCAGAAAGACTACCTGGGGGGGTGGCAACCACCCCCCCCCATGTGCGGGCGAGGGTTAATTAACCCATTAATGCCGGAATTTTTATTTTTTGATTCTTAAGTTGCCCTTAACAAATGTTAGCCACACGGGTCCCAGTAAGAAAACTGTGCAAGCTTAAAAAAAATATTCCATCGGTTCTCAAGTTATAAGCATGGGTCATAAATGACCCAACCGGCATTAGTATTTAGTATAGTCACAAATAAGGAGTTATCACGAAAACCGATTTAGCTAGATACTGATTATTTAGGGACATATTTGTGTTATGAGGTTATCGGTGGATCCAACAAATAACTAAATGTACTTACTTTTATTGACGTTTCGGTTTCAAACAACCTTCGTCAGAATAGAATTACAAGTTACGTCTCATATTTCAAAAATGCACATATTTCAAACACACTGAGAACCTCACACGATTGTTCTCTGCCGGTGGCAGAGAACAATCGTTCTCAGTGTGTTTGAAATATGTGCATTTTTGAAATATGAGACGTAACTTGTAATTCTATTCTGACGAAGGTTGTTTGAAACCGAAACGTCAATAAAAGTAAGTACATTTAGTTATTTGTTGGCTCCACCGATTAGCTAGATACCTTCTTGTGTATACTGTATAGCGGTTTCAGCCAAACAATATTAAGAGGCACTGCATTGCAATGCTTTGCAACGTCAAATTGGCGAGGCCGTTGGTGCCGGTGGCAGGCCTGTGGTGCCCCTGCTGGGCCTCTGGCGCTCTTGACACTGTCAGGGGCACCATAGGCCTGAGAGGCCTGTGGTGTCCCTGGGCCCTGACAAGCCTGAGGTGCCCCTGACAGGCTTGTGGAGCCCCTGGCAGGCCTGCGGTGCCATTGCTAGGGCTGTGGTGCCCCTGGAGGCCTGTGGTGCCCCTGCTAGGCCGCTGGTGCCCCTGGGTCCTGGCAGGACTGTGGTGCCCCTGACAAGCCTGAAGTGCTCCCGACAGGCCCGTGGAGCCCTTACAGGCCCAAGGTGCACGTGCGAGGCTGGTGGTGCCCCTGTGAGGTCTCTGGTGCCCCTGGCAGGTCTCTGGTGCCCCTGGCAGGTCTGTGGTGCCCCCTGGCAGACCTGTGGTGCTCTTGCTAGGCCGATGGTGCTCCTGCAGGCCTGTGGTGCCCCTAACAAGCCTTTGGTACCCCTGACAGGCCCGTGGTACCGCTCGGCCGGCCGAGTCGCCGGCCCGCCCCTCGTCACGGCCCCGCACGACCAGTCCGCTCATGATATCCCAACATCGCAACACTAGGTCTGTGGTGCCCCTGTCAGGCCTGTGGTGCCCCTGATAGGTCGGTGGTGCCCCCGGGCCCCAAGGGAGGTCATAAGTGACCCATATGACCCCCCTCCCTTGGATCCGCCACTGGGATCTGATCACAACCCCCAGAAATAAGTAATCGTATAATCATCAGTTGCTTCCCTTGTATTCAACATACGAGAAAATTGCCAACACTATTGCCGGCTGGGTCATTTATGACCCAATGATATTTATCGAGGAAAAAAAGTTATCCGATGGCGACAAGAAGGGCAAAAATATACATCATACCTTTTTCAGACAAATTTAAATGCCAGGTGGACGATCATTCAACAGATAGTAAGGTGCAAACATAATATAATATTGCTTTTTGGGGCGGCGCGCCATTGCTAGTGACCGGCGACTGTGCAGTCCCGTCGTCTTTGGCTCCAGAAACTTCAGTGGACGAGCTCACACAAGTTTTATGCGGCTCCGACGCTCGCCACTGAACTCACAAATCCAACAAAACATACGCACAAGTTCCTCAAAGTGCCACTTGCCTCCATTGAGAAAAATCATTAAGGTTTTGCTTTTGGGTCATATATGACCCAAGCGGCATTAATGGGTTAATCACTAGTATCCACTGACGAAGGCACCCTGTGGCCGAAACGTCTGGTTTTAGGAATTTGACTTGTGTTGCCATCGATCGTGAATAAAACTCAATGATTATTTACAATAGACCTTATAGCTGTGGCTACCAGAAATCAAAGCCCACAGTTGTATAAACAGTCAACAGATATTCGTCGGTCCTCGGACATTCTGAGAAAAATCATCGATCAGATTGGCGCATGCCTTGCGGTCCGAGGAGCTATCAGCACAGATTACAAATTGGACGGGGGGGGGGGGGGGCGCGTAGATTGGCCTGCTACATCTGAAAATGTAAAAAAAAAAAATAGCGCCCTCTCACGATCACAATACCATAACCCGCGCACCGACGGGGGTCTGCGCCAACTTCGTACCGACGGGGGGGGGGCGGATTACTGCCCCCCCCCCTGAGATCTCGAGAACGAAGCAAGATAGCGACAAGAGGTAAGCGGCAAGGGATACGCACGGACAAGGTCTACAATTTTTACTAAGGTCATTTTCAGGTCAGGTCAAAGATGACGTCACAGGGGTCAAAAAAGTCAAAATAGCGGCGCTAGGTATAGAGAGAGTTTTTCTCGAATAACTTTCGAACTAGTCAATATAGGAACAAACTAAGGGCAGCATCGTGATCCTCTCGTCAATCCGCATCGAATGATATATATGTTGACCTCAAAAGGTCAAGGTCAAAGGTTGACCTCAGGTCACGTGAACTCGAGGTCATCATGCATATCATTCGATGCGCCTTGACGAGCTGAGCACAATGAGACCATCCGCGCGGCTGTATCTTGTTCCTGTACGGAGTTATTGTCAAAAAACCGCTGGTGACCTTTGATGACGTCACATGACCTTACAGCTGCCCAACTGCAAAACAGACCTCAAGGTAGTGAAGGTTGATCGTATATGAGGTCATGTATGGTTTATGGGGCCATTCCGACCCGTTTTAGTGGTAAAAACAGGGAGTTGATTTTTCCCCCATTGACTAATAATGGGGAGGTCGAGAAATTGACCTGACCTTAGGTCATCGATATCAAAATTATGAGATAAAAAAATTGTAGCTACTAATGACCTTATAACATCCTGCGACTTTCAAAGGCCTCCGACATCTACTGTAGCTCTGGCACGGTGACAAAATTGCAAAAAAGTGACTTGAGGCTGGGTCATTCAAAGTGACCTGGTGACCTGACCTTAAAAAAAGTTAGGAGGTTCAAACTTGCACACCATGTGTAAAATTGATGAGAGAATAGTCGTACCAAATTTCGCGTTCCCGCTATTTGCGAAAAACCTCAGGGGGGGGGGGGGCAGAATCCGCCCCCCGTCGGTGCGCGTGATAAGTGATCGAAACTCACCGTCGGTGATTGGCGTATCAGGGAGGACGTTGGCCGCATACTGCTCACACACTTGCTGGATGTTCGTAACTTTTTCCTTTAGCTCTTCTGGCTCCTCACGAGTCCCCATAATCAGGGTCAGATCGTGCCACAACTGAAATGGAAGGAAAACAAATATTAGGCAAATATAGAGCGTGCAATCACCAGTAGCGTCGCTAAAATGGGATCTTATAGGAGCCGGGAAACTCTGGTGTCGCATCGAACGAGCTCAGGTGACCACCTGCTGAGCATGATTTTAACTTAATTCCTGTGTGGCTGGCTCCTACCTACAAAAGGCCTCCGATCTAGAGGGCATCATCTCTTTTGAGGAGTCAGAGGGCCGAGGGGCCCTAGTGGTCACTGGTCAGACACAGATACCATCGGCTATTCACAGGAGGCCCCAGGTGGTAAGAAAAACCCCAGCTGTCAGCGAAAAATAGAAGGAAAACTATTTATATCACATTTTTTGGCTGTAAATTGATAATGGTCAGTCTGACCAGCAAGTCACTTTCACTGTGACCAAAAATGGGTTAAAGGGACTATCCCACCTTCTTAAATGTTGTTAAAACCAGTTAAATTGTGCCCGACTTTATAGATTGGATGACCAGGAACACGGTTCTGGCATTTATTTTTCATTAAACATCTTAGGCTTCCCATATTCCAAACACAAACTTTCAAATATGTGACGTCACAGCCCAAAATTACCTCCTTCCCCAGGCCACATTACTGTCATAAATCTGATTCTTTTTACTCTGTAGGCACCACAACAAAGTTCAGACCAAGTTTTAAGCGATTTTTCAACGAACAAACCCATTTAAATCAGAATGACTAAACGAGGTGACGTCACACTAACGGTCGCTCTATGTTGAAGATAGGGCCTTGTACAAGCCCATTTTCAAATGAAGGGAACGAATTTCTTCAACACCAAGAGGCCGCGGGGGTTGCAACCTTAGATACCTAGATAGTGGTTTCTGAACCTCGCCGCAAACTTGGCTATCTCAACTCAAACCCCATGTTAAAGGTGGAATAGTCCCTTTAATATAAGGCAATATCCTGGCCAAAAGATACATTTTAAGTCTTACCTTTGTTGTTCACTGCTTGCCGCGGTCTTGGTCGTCCAGTAGACACTGCACGCTTCACCTGCACGCCACCCCACGCTTCACCATGTATCCATCCAGTTCAAAGTTTCGACACAAACGGTAAAATGGCGGTACAAAATGGCGGTATAAATTGGCCACGTGGAACACCATAGTAAAATAACGCCCCGAGCTGTAAAAATACAACACTGAAGACTGAAATAACCATGTAGCATAAAACCACACCTAAAAATCCCTCGCTTATCAAGTCCACAGTGTAAATTTACTCCATTTAGGTTTTGCGATAATCAGCTGAACCACGCAAGTGTAAATTTATGCTACCAACTAGCCATTTATTATCCGCATGGGATTAAAAATGCACTTGGGTAATAATTTTACTACCAATAAGCTGAGGTGTAAAAAACATAAGAACTTGAAATTACACCATAGTTGCAAGAAAACCCTAAAGTACTGGATGGATTACACCTAAGTTGAGTAAAAAATGCACCTAGTCATCTTTTAACTCTGAATTTTCGGCTAAGGGTGGTACAAATAGTCTGGAAAGTGGTGTTAAGTGGTTACAAATATCACCCAAAAATACCACCAAGGTGTACTTTTCTTTCAGTGCAGTCCCACACCCTCCATCCTGACTATCTGGCTGCAGAGCTCCTTGTGTGCGCAATGGTCCGCAAGGTCCGAAGCACCTATCCAACAAAAGAAAGAAAGAAAGAAAGCTCCTTGTGGAGGTAAAAGAAGGTATACCACCTAGTCGCTATCTAGTCGCTAATGCCATCTAGTATACAGACGGCAAGCAATACGGTACGGCATAACTTCAGGCGCTCTTTATTAGTGCCATCATAGTGAAAGCAAGACAAACAACGTGGCATCATATAATTTCAGAAGTCGTTGCCTGTGCCATCTACCTAGTGATGAAAAGGAGAAATGCGGTACAGTATAGCTTCAGGCGTTCGTTGCTAGTGTCATCTAGTGATGGAAAACAAAGCAATGTAAATTCACGGTAGGTAGGTATGTAAATGTACAATTTTACAACAACACTGAAAAAAACTTACTCCCCATTTTCTAATTTTAGAATGCCAAAAAGCACTCCTGCAATCGAATAATTTTATGACCTGGCATAAGCGCCTAAAATGGGGAGTTTTGGGGAATAAAACTAGCATATAGAATATATTTAGTATCCGTACGCTTATATTATTCGCGCTAGGGAGTAATTTTATGACGGAGGATAAAAGTATGCTATCTTTGGATAAAATTACACCAGATGATAATTTTATTAACTTTATACTAAAATTACTCCCATTCGGGGAATAATATTGCCATGCCAAAAAGCACTCCTTTTTTCGATAATTTTACCCCGGAGTAACTCCCCGGTAAAATCAAGCCCCGGTGTAAAAGTACCATCCCTGATAATGCGGGGTGATGTGATATTATTATGACCAAGTGTAAAATAAGGAATGCATTTAAACAATGTATTGAAACACCAACAATTGATTAACGAATGGTACCCGAGCATCAGCAGGTACATCTTAATTTGGACGCACTTCCAGTGATGGCGCATTGCGGCCGACAGGGACGTAATTTTGCTTCCTAGTTGAGAAGCGGCGTCTCAACTGGGAGGCAAAACTTCGTCTCTGCCGGCCGCAATGCGAAATCACTGGAAGGACGTTCAAGGTCACAACTCACAAGGGCGTTATGGTTAACACTGAGGCTAACGAATAACATCTGCGCATAGAACCACCGCCACGGATGGCAGATAAAACGAGCGTGTATGGTTAACACTGAGGCTAACGAATAACATCTGCGCACAGAACCACCGCTGCACGAATAGCAGATAAAACGAGCGTGTATGGTTAACACTGAGGCTAACGAATAAAATCTGCGCACAGAACCACCGCCACGGATGGCATATAAAACGAGCGTGATCTGGGCTATGAAAGACGTACTGAGACTCATTGGCGTACTGAGACCGCCGCAGCTGAATTAGTCATAATACAGAGGCTCCAGTAGTGTGAGCCACACGTTGCGAGTCACTTGAGCCACAGGTGAGCCACAAGTCACGAGTCACTTGAACCACAGGTGAGCCACAGGTCGCCAGTCATTCGAAGTGGGCATCTCCGATGCTGGTTCTACACTACCTGGGTAACCTCCCACACCTTCTGTGATAAGCCAGATAGGTTTACTTTACATCGAATCCCACACTCCGGTAAAGAATCTCGAACAGGGCCCTACAGGGCCCCGTGAACTTTGTGTAGAAGACAGCGTGGGCGGCCGTCATTAGGGCCACGGTCTCCAACCTGGTGGCCGGCAGTTGGCAGACCACCACACCGTCCACCGATAGTTCCTCACCTGCCTGACGAACCCCGTTTCTCGGATCCGCCAAGGTGCCAATGGTTGTTCCACAACCATAGGCAAGTAGAGCTAGCAGCTCGTCGTCTGCCGTGAAAAAGAATATTGCAGTCAGTTGGCATCAATGCATATCGTACAAAAAACGTAAAGGAAACCTAGGAGAGAAACAAGGAACCGCGTTCGTACAGTAGCTGGCAATGCCATCTACAGTATCTGGAGACGATTCTTCGCTTCTTCCTGATTTCTTTTCACTCTCAAAATCGTAGTACGATGCGTAGTACGTTTGCGTAGTAGGTACGATACACTCTTACAACTAAACGTGGTGCATAGTTACAAAATAATTATACGTTGTTAAAATATTTCAGTGAAATAAGAAATTAGTACCCGATGTTCCGCTGTCATGGTTAAGTATGGAGTGCAAGTAGGTATCAAACTGCATGCAACTGTGGTATATTTGGAGACAATGAAGACAACCATGAATGGAGACAACCTGAATGGAGACAACCATGACTTTTCAATATCACTAGAGTTAAACAACACTTTTTGACTAATAGCAAAACCAACGACGATTGGCTGTCCAAAGGTGAGGTACAACATGTTGTCCCGCCCGTCGTTAAAGTGCAAAAAGGTGGCATGCCACCTTTTTACGGTTTTCGGTTTAAAACGGTTTTCAGTAGACCTGACCCACCTATGACCTACCCTGAAGTCCGTTTCCCGAAATTCGTCCTAGTTTTCGAGATATCCGCATTCAAACTTCACATTGATGCCATCACAAAAAGTGTGGGAGATGGGATTTTAACATGGTAATGTTACATTCCCATATTCCACACATTTGTGATGGCTTTAATCTGAAGTCCAATTGCGGATATCTTGAAAACTAGGCCGAATTTCGGGAAACAGAATTCAGGGTAGGTCATAGGTGGGTTAGGTCTAGTGAAAACCGTTTTGTGTAAAAAAGGTGGCAGCCTTCCTTTAAGCAAAAAAAAAAAAATCATCAAGAAAATAAACAGTTGTCCTGCCCTCTGCTATTAATGTATTACGCCATTGGGATATGTGAAACGTCATTTCTCCATCGTACAGGAAGAAGCATGCGTGGGAAATACCTTCCTACACTTGGTCTTGGCTAATGTTTTGGCCTGACCTCGTATTTATCGAAAATACCTCGGGCCTAACTTTACATTCGCTAAAAAAAAAATCAGTCAGATCTAAACATTATTCCAGCCCTGGCCAGGAATATATTGTCTACGATGATCGGCTCGAGCCCAGTTATATAGAAGAAGAGTATCCCCCCCCCCCCCCGGCACGATTGTTGCTAGCGGAACACCTCATCCGAAAAGGTGTGCTTCTGCCCGTTCAAAACTCACCGTCTTTGTCGGCCGGCTCCACGTTTATCATCGTCTGGGCATACTTCTTCGCGGTATGTCTGATTTTGTGCAGGACATGCTCCTTCACGTCCTCCTCGAGCCCCATGATCATTCCCAAGTCAGTCCACACCTGGAAACATCGCAAAATCACATTTATGAATGGAATTAACATCAAGCAACATCAAGTGAACATTATATCATTGTGGAAGGTCAGGTCAGGTAAGTTACTCCAGCTCACCAAAAGTTTGAAAGCGCGCCACGTCAAGTGTCGACCTCTGGTGATCTTTTACCTGATAAAAATGACTGGAATGCTTTCGTCATGGTCACATCCCAACTCCGCCTTGAGCGTTTCGTTACAGTTACGTTGCTTAGGACCAGCCAAGTTAGATGGGAGGGGGGGGGGGGGGTGACTTCCCAGCAGGCGGTAGAAAAACCAGAGGGAGTGGGTTAAAAATTATACAAATTTTCCAGATGTTTTCCTATCCAATGTTGTTCCCTGATAGCGCGGATATAAAATGGTGCCACTAATTATATAGTTAGTTCAGTTCAACCATCCCCCGTTAACGAGTTTCAAAATTCCTTTACCGTTACATCACGCTGCCGCGCTGGCGGGAAAAAAGTTCCCACGCATTCATAATACATAGGAAGATGGTGATCATCTGGGTCAAATGGCGAGCTTATAATTGGGAAGTTTATAAAAAAACACGTTTACATGAATGTTTGAAGCCCCGTTTCTCGATAATCCACCCTTAAAAGGCACAGATGTCAAATGTGACATTTTATCTACACCACGCTTACGCATAGCCACTGTGACGTCACCGTGGCGGTCAAATTTTCCTACTGAACTACCCTGTTAGTAAAGGAATCTCGAGTTCAATCACACATAACATTAGACAAGACTTTTAAATACCGAATAAAGCAACACTTACGGCAGCTTCGCTGTACATATCCGGGAATATCTCCTTCATCTCCTCGCCAGTCTTCCGGTTTCGGTTGCTCGTGAGGCATATCCGCCGAACCTCGAAGGAATCTTTGAGAACAGATGTCTTTGTGAGTGACATCGGCGTGCTTTAGCTTGGCACTGAACTTGGCGGTTTCGGTGCAGATGTCTAGCTTCGACTTCTTCGTTTTGGGAAACATCCCCGGCATCCCCTCTTCAGCTGCCGCACGCTTTTTCACAACGATGCCCCTGGCTCGTCTTTCCGTGTCGATGACGGCGTTGCTCAATGCTCAGTGGCTTTCGACAGTTCTTGAATCTGTTGACTGTTCCGAAGTTTCTGTCGGAAGCTGTTCTTCCGCAGAGTCACCTTTGAGAAAGAAAAGAACCGTTTTTTAATTTCATGGACAGCTTTATCAGGCAGTGAACACTGAACAAGATATAAATACGTTCATTAAACGTGTTTTCTTCTATCGTGATCATGGGAGGATAGAAACAACAAAAAGTAGATGTCCGGATATGACCGTTTAAACAATTTGTTTTGTTTGTTTGTAACAACAATTTGTCAATTTGTTTTGACAATTTGTCTTCCAGAATTTCATCATCGCGGAAATCTTCGTCCGCTAATCTACGTCAACGCATTTCTTGGATTGTATGGTCATACTACGGATTACTGTAAAGTCATACTAACAAAACACAAAGGATAAAAGTAATTTCAGCTTACCTTCGAGGACTGGGACGCTTGCTCGGTTCTCTGACAGATGGCCTTGGTTCTGACGACTTGAGCACAATGGCGGTCGCGAATGGTCGCGAACTGAAGAGACATTCCGAAAATATTATTCTTGGAATAATACTGTGCTGGACGAATAGATTAATCACTTTTAGATTAGTTATGTTACAACGGAATAGGATTATCAAGAAAGTGATACAGTATTGCTTGAAATACGCTCCCGAATACTCCCGAAGAATAATGTTAGTAATGCTACCACATAATATTACTCCATGGTTATAAAATTATTGTCCGGACATCATAGTTTTATCACAAAGGAAGTAATTTTTACACCTACATGAGAATAGTTTTATTCTGTCGCGTCAATTTATCAGCCGTAATGGAGTATAAAAATTACCCTAATTACTCCACAGCGGTTTATTTTTATGCAGTTTTGATAAAAGTACTCTAGCTGTCAATTTTATTACCATCTAATGGGAGTTCAGCACAAATATATTCCAATGACCTTGTTTATCACTGTGAAATAAGCTAAAATTACACCATGCCTCTTTGAGACTGATATAAATTTATAACCCGAAAGAATAAAAAGGACACGTGATAAAATTAGAAGATAAAATTACCACTTGCTAAAACACAAAAGAGATGATTATAGTACCAGGTTTAAGAATAACTTTCAAAAACGCCCTTAATGCAATGCAGAGAGTAAGAATACGCTACAAAACATAATCATTATATGCCATTGGTGCGTTATTATTCGCCAAACTGGAGTGGAAAAACTCCAAAAATAACTCTCTAGGTGTAAGTTTTTTTCAGTGAACGGACGGAACAGTACCTACCTTTAACTTCAGGACGCTTCAGAGTTCAGGTGAAAGTGGCTAAAAAATCAATACCTTAGCCATCCTTAGCTTTCCTAGTAAAAAGTACCACTAGGTACGCCTCGCAATATTTTTTTTTTTTGCGCATTACATATTATCTATAGGTGTACAGTGTAGGTACTTCAATAGGACCAAAATAATTTCACATGGATGTGCCTGTGCCATCTACCTAGTGATGAAAAGGAAAAGACATGGATGAAAAGCGGATATACCTACATAATTGGCATGTGCATTGTGCCTAACATATCACCTATCACCGTTACCTATCACCGGCTAAGCAATTCATTGATGGGCAATGTAATGCACGAAATAGGAGCGTGTGTTTTCTTAATTTTCCATCCCATATTTATTTTTCAATCTTCCATTTGACATTGAAAATTTTGCGTTCTGCGTTATTATTGCAGCACAAGCATAAAAGAAGCGAGCGCAAGATGATAAACGGCCTACCATTTGCGCAAATTTACTTCCAAACGCTTCCCAGAGGAGCACGAGGCGTTTAAATACAGTTAGGCTGTTCGGTCGGAGCAAACATCGTTCTGACCCCTCCGGAATGGTCTGTCGGCCCTGGTCCCATCCGTCTTCCGGCAGGGCAATGGGTCCGGGTGGTCGCCCTTTCCGCTATCGATTGGACGTGTTCGCCCGCGAGTTCGGTGCTCCTGGCCGGGTGTACGACTGTGTGTGTATGTGTGTGTGTCTGCGAGTAAGTGTGCCGCACCCGGGCGATACAGTGCCTTATCGATCGGACGGCGGTCGCCCTGACTTGAGCAGCTGAAAATGGCTCCCAGTCGGCCCCACCCGTGCCACCACGGCTCCCTGCTCCGGCTCGAAGCAGCCCCGGCCGCGCTGGGCTTTCGCCCCGCTTCCTGACCAGCCAAGCGCACTGCGTCCGGTCTTAACAGCGAGATTCCCCTCCAGACAGTGGCGTAACGCACCACCGACCCGTTACGGAACTGCGGCGAGTAGGGAGGGTAGGGGAGCGAGGGAGCCACTCGACCAGACTTAGCTGGAATTGACGCTGGTCACGTTGCGAACATGAGACAAGTGACCTCATGCGCCCACACGGCAATAGGGAATGTCTACCATGCCATTTAGTACTGTCCGAAAATGTAGGTGCGTATTTTAGATGCTCCCTTTAAAAACTCATTGCAATTTGCAAAAGCTGCAATGCGGAATATTTTTAGATAGTTGAACGCTACACTAGAGGTCCAACGCCGAGCCGCTCACCACCTTAGCAACAGAGTGGAATTATTATGAATAACACTGACAATGCAACGTTTGCTAGCGACCAGGATCTCGTTCTTGTCTGATGCAAATATCAGGTGGTCGCTGGATTGGTTCGAACAGACTTAATTCGGTCCCGCTGTGTCGTCGTATACGGCTTCTGAGCCGTTCGATATCCCATAGGGGAGGGTCAGTGTCGGTCTTCATAGCAGAACCGCGGTGAGCACTGAGCCTGGTGAGCACTGGGGTGGCATGATCTTCTTGGCCGACACTAGCTAGAAGTTTGACATTTGTCATAAACGTGTTGGGTCGTAGTTTATATCCAAACCAGATTTGCAGTTGGCTCGAGTCGTCAACAAGGTTTTAGTTGGTTAACATATAAGGCGGCAGATTTTCAACAAAAGCTTCTAAAATATCACGACTTCTTGCAAATATGTAAAAATAAAAATAGACTTGCTCAAAATGACTTCAATTTTACAATTACGTGTATATATACTGTTTGCATCCACTTCCGTAACTGCATAGTACTGACGTTTAAATGCAATGCTCCGTTTCGTGCAAAATGTATTTGCCCTCCCAAGGAGCTACCTACTCATAGAGGTATTGCAATCAAATGACAATCATTTAGCAGAGAACACTTACATAATAATACGACATAACAGTGTGCACTGAAATTCGGTGATAATAAAGCTGACTTTTAGCAGTCGCCACATAAATAGTGAAGCCCAACACACCAGAGCAGAAACGCTGCCTAACTAAACATACGACTCTGGCTGCATAAGACCAGGATCACTGCGTAAGATTCTAGACGTATTGCCAATCGCACTAGCACCATTCTCGGAAAAGTTTGCATTAAAGCATCAAACCAAAATTACTCTGTGCTGCACGTTACCCAGCGGAAAGTATGCACTTCAGCATTCTATTGTATGGCTGAAAACACTTCAAACAAATCGGCACTATCGCGCATCGGTGACAATTTTTGCCACCAAAAAATATTTATAGCTGAGGTTACTATGCATAGCTAGACTCACCAAAGCTAGCTCCAAACATAGCATTTATTTGTTCCAGAAGGGCAGTTTCCTTGCAGCCAGAACAGCTCTAAAACCGACTCTAAAAAAAACTGCAGCAGTTTGTGGCAGATGTCCGACGCATGCTGAGAGCTGTCAGATTCTAAAACGCCTTTTGTCACCTTCTCAAACATTCTTGAATGATTTCCTTAGACTTAAACTCGTTTCGCATCGTGTCCTTTAATTCAATCAAAACCATTTCTGCACCATCATAAAGCTCCTGTGCCGTTCCAGACTGCCAAAATGTCTGCCCCTTCACTCACACACCACCGCGGACTGCACCACTGCCGGAGTGTTCAGGATTTCACGGGGCCGTTGGGCTGCTGGTGGCGCACGCTGACGGGACGGGCGTGGCTCTGCCGGTACCGCTCCACCTGTTCATGCAGCGCGTGAAACCCCTCGTCGGCAAACCGAGAGAACCGCTTGCCGACGCCCATCTGTGAGGTGCGCGCCCGCGGCACGAACCCGCTGTAGCCCGGGATGGGCAGCGGCTCCTCATCTGCGAAAAAGAAGCCACGTGTCAGGTCAGATTACATAAAATCAGATCACACTGTCAGTAATGATACATTTGGGGACACGACGATTCTGTACAACTTAATCAGCGTTATGTAACAGTGTTATCATTGCAATCATATTGCCACAAGGATGCCAGGTAGATTCCGTCACGTGGGTAAAAGCACTTTAGTTCCAAATTGATAGAATGAATTCGAAGCGAGAGCGAACACGTGGAAGCCGTGGAAGGGGTGCGATATTTCTAATGCTATCAAAGACCCTGATCAAAGATACCATTTTGGTATGGAATAATGGATGGTTGATTTAATTTGGCGCTGATAGCATAGAGACAGTTCTATCTTTCAGGTGGAGGGTCGCTAAAAAAGTAAATTGCTTTTGTCTCAGTCCATTCCGCCTGTGTGTATCGTCATGAACTAAGAATCCATTACTCTATTATCGTCATCCAATAATGAGCGATAACGGCGGTGCTGAGGTCGCCTTTGCCACTGCCGCTGATGGCGGCTGTGGCAGCGACAGCGACACCAGCAGCAGCAGCTCGGAGACGCTGGAGACGTACACCCTGGAATCGTCGATCGCTGACGTCCACCCCGACCACCTGGTCGACACGCGCGTCTTTCAGGAGACGAGTAACAGCTGCCTGATCCACGCCGAGCCCTTCCCGGTGACGTTCATCGGCTTCCGACTGAAGCAGGCCAACACTGCCGTGCTGAGGGTGTACAACAAGTCGGCCACGTCGCAGAGGTTCCACATCATCCCGCCGAGTGATTCCGTGTTCACCATTCAGTACACCAAGGTACGCTACTTCGTGCCCGGCTCCACGCTCAAGATCCATATCACGTTCACGCCGCAGGAGCAGCGTTTCCACTCGGACCGTATCCTGGTACACTGCGAGGATGAGTTCAACCTGCAGGTGCCAGTGATGGCGTTTCCCAGCGTGACGTTCGCCGCGTTTCCGCGTCACATCCTGCTGCCGACGACGCCGGTCGGCCGGCGGCTGACGCACAAGATTCCGCTGCTGGTGCAGGCGGCGGTGCCGACCAGTTTTCGGGTGGAGGTGGCCGAGCCGTGCGCGGAGATGACGGTGGAACCCACGGAGGGCGCTCTGCCGACCGACGGCTCGGTGCTGCACCTGACGCTCACCTACCGGCCACGTCAGTACAGCACGGCCCGCACCACCCTGCGACTGTTCCTCTCCGACTGCGGCGTCACGCCAGCCACCTGCACCGTGGCCGCCCGCTGCGTACCGGGGCTGAGGAGAGACAGACTGGCCGCCAAGAGACCACCCTCCGTCCAGCCCCGTACCAGTCCTGTCCAGCCGCCGGCCGGGGCGCTCGGGCCGAAACACGACCTGTGTTTCCTGGCGGCGGGAGACGGACCCCCCCTCGGTGAGCTCGATCTCACCACACACGGAGACGTGGCCAAACTGCTGCTGCAGAAGTTCGCTGCCAGTGTAGTGGTCCAACAGACTTTCCTCGAGCGATCAGAGAGCTCTCTGGCTGCGGCCAACCGCGAGCAAGCACGCCGCTTCAGTCGAGCCGGTCTACAGCGGGCCACACGACTGGCCGAGAGGACAGAGGTCCGCCGCGGACAGCGACCGCTAACCACCCTCGAAAGGAACGCCATCCTGACGGAGCGGGGCCATCTCTGGGAACAGTACGGCAGGATGGTCAGCCAGACGACCGCAGCACCGCCGCACTCCGGCCTACCAGTCGTCCACCTGGTCAACAAGAAGTTGCTGCGGGACGCCGACCAGCCGGCGCTCTGGCGGCATCCTTCTTACGACGTCTACCTGAACCGGCCGTGGCCGTTCCGCCTGGCGGCTCTGGAGAGGTTCGTGCAGGCGGCGCGTACGGTAGTGCTGCGGTGTCGAGCTGAGAACCGTCTGCTGCGACTCCGTCCACTGGTAGAGGAGGTACGAGCCGAGAGAGAGGAGGAGCGGAACAGGGCAGAGCAGGAGGAGGAGGAGCAGGAGCGGGAGCTGACAGACGCAGAGTGGAAGGAGATCCTGGATCAGGGGAGAAAGGAGGATGACAAGGAGGACGAGGAGGAGGACGAGAAGAAGAGGGTCGAGAGTAAAATGAGTGAGGAGGAGAAGGCGAGCGATAGTGCATTGGAAGATAACAGCAAACGGATGAATGAGAGTGAGACGGAAGTCAGAGAAGGAGACGAAGATGATGAATAATTTCAAATGAGTCGGAATATTTTCGCGCTGAATGCTCTTCCCTTCTACACACGTTACTACAAGCATGCCGAAATGCAGAACCAGAAGCCATTCCCGACCTGTCCCAAGTTTCAAAGTTATGCAAGCGGATTGGAGTGGTGCCACGCAACGTTCCGTGATTCGTGTGACGCTGAGTGAATTGTTTTTGATTACGTTGTGGTCTCGCCTAATAAAAAATAAACCTGAATATTTCATATGCACGGTAAGCATTAGGAAAAATAAACACGACACACAAACAACGAGAACTAAGAGCATAGATCATTAGAAGCTCGAACGACCTATAGAGGCACGCATGTTTGAGGACCGTATAAACTCATTTCATCTGGTTGAAGTTCAGACCAATGTCACCGGCGAATCTCACCTTTGCTATGAGCCGAGTAGCGGCTGAACTTGGCGTCTAGCGCGCTGCTGACGGCGCCGTTGCTCAGGGCGGGGGCGGGGGCGGCGGGAGCGGCGGCGCCCGTCTCGCGGACCGCCCGCCGACTGGCCGAGGCCCTGCCGAGCGAGCGGCTGCGGCGCGCGTGCTCCTCGCGCTCCCGACGCTCGGCAGTCCGCCGCTCCATGTCGCTGAAGCAGTCGTCGCAGGCCTTGCGGTAGTTGGTGCCGACCACATACCGGCTTCCCGGAACGAAACCTGTAGTGAGAAAGGGACGCTAGATAATGGTAGACAAGACGAACCACTAACGGCAAACGCGGGCAGAAATTTAGTACCAGCCTGCAGGCGACATTAGAATGACCCTCATGTTTCTGTTCTGATGAATGGATGCCGGGTTCTACTTCTGATGCAAGCATGGCTGCATGCGATACCTCGTTCCTGTATTGATGTGTTTCCAGAGCAATACACGACAATGTGCATTGTGCATTATGCATTGTTTCTAAAGTCACGGAAGCCTCTAATCACACGATGGTCATTAGTGGGTGATTGAAAATAGAAAACGACCCTTTTATCATTGTGATATCTTGCTGTGCCTAATAAAATTGCCTAGTTATGTCAAATCCTAAATTGTATTAATTCCCTGCGTTTGAGCTCTCTCTCTCTCTCTCTCTCTCTCTCTCTCTCTCTCTCTCTCTCTCTCTCTCTCTCTCTCTCTCTCTCTCTCTCTCTTTCCCTCTCTTTCCCTTTCTCTCTCTATCTCTTTCCCTCTCTTTTCCTCCCTCTCTCTCTCTCTCTCTCTCTCTCTCTCTCTCTCTCTCTCTCTCTCTCTATTTTTCTCTCCATGTTCGTTTCTGTGCGCCACCCCAAGTTACAAATCACCCGTAACTGCCTCATGACGTGTAGTGACCTACAGAACATGGCCGGTCGGACTGACGGACACCGTGGGCAGCCAAACATTGATCGGATACCGTCTGGCCCAATATGACTGGCACTGTGTGTAGTGTGTTGTGTGTATTTGTGTTTTGCGCGTCAGTTTGTGTGTAGGACTTGGTGTGTCTGTGTATGTTGGCAGCAACCACGGCCGGCTGTCCCAGACTAGTGACATTTGCTGAGCGGTGCCTGTCGCAGCTGGAAATGGAGATCGATAGGCTGCATAAAGCATAAGGACACTAAAAGGCTCAACACTCAACAGTAAAGGCCGAACAATCAACAGGGATTGTAATCATGGTATTGTTGCGACAATTGACAAGGTGGAAATGTGTTCTCACCTGAGCAGCTTATGGCGATGGCAAGAAATCGATATAACAAAAACTGTTTATCACAGACAAAGATTTATACCCAGATCATCAAGTTTACCTCCTGCGCTCCCATTCACGTCTCCGCACATCTGTACCGGCTCAGCGGCGCAGTCCGCCGTTCCCGGCTCCGTGTCCGTCCCAGAGGCATGTCTCGTCTCTCGATATCGTGACGGGATCTCTCCCACGCGCGCGGTTCGTCCGATCGCGGTCGGCGCTTCTCACGGAGATGTGAACCGTGACTGGACCAGCCAGACTCACGGAGTCGTGTCGTCGTGCCTGCCTCCGTTCGGGCTACCGGGAGAGTGGTCGAATCCGGCCGGGACTAGCGTCCATCCGGGGGAGTAGGTAATCGACCCGCGGGGTACTTGGAGTGGGCGACTGTTTGCAGAGAATACAGCGCGATAGAGTGCGGTGTCTGTGGAGGAAAGTGCTGCCCCGCGCGGCTGGTCATGCGGTGCTGCAGGCCGGCACGGACGGTGGCCGGCCGTAGCAGGGTGGGTGTGGGTCTGCACCGGTCCGTGTGTGGAGCAAAACAGAGCTGAGTAGGGTTCGGCGTCTCGGCGATGACGTCACGCCACTGACCTGTGTAGCCGGCGATGCCGCCTCGGGGTGACATTGGCTTGGGCGGTGCTCGGGTCACCGAGGTCACCTCTCGGGCCCGGTCGACGACATCGACAGGCGCCGACTGGAGGTCCGCACCGCGGGGGGTCACTGTCACGTGACCCACATGAGTGCGGCTCACCTGCCGAGGGGGGGGGGGACACGCAGGTCATACATGGAGTCACATCAGGTCAGCAAGAGCAAGGTCTACATAAGCAGTCCGCTTTTACCGGATAAGTGAGAGAGGCATATGGTAATTTGTAAGAACTAGCAATACAGTATCGGTTCAACGTTTATCATAAAGAAACATTTAAGGTGGCGAAAACTCGCGGCAGTGCTTTACTCGACGTGATTCTAGAGCATAAAACTTTTATGGCGAACGTTCAACTGAAAATTTCTCAACTTCCAACAAACAACAGTTATGATACACAGCATTTTAATCATCCCGAGTGGCAAATCTGGTCCCCAGTTAATGGTTACTGTCGGATGAGGCATTCTGCGTAAATCTGGGGCCTCCCCAAAGAACATAAAGTCTCCTGCTGTCATTTGTGCGGTGCTTTTAACTGGATTGGGCGGCGCAGTTTTAATGCTACTGCCCGTGTTCCTGTCGTTCGCGCCCGGCCCAATTTGACCGAGGTGTCCTTCAGTGCCAGGCATGGACTGGAACCATTTGTCAATGCAGCCACTCGGCAGGACAGAAGCTCGGTAGGTCAGTGGCAGGCGGAATGGTTCCGACTATGTAGCCATGATCCTTGGGTGCATGCATTTACAGGAAGGGTTAGGCAACAGTGAAAACGTGAACGGGATAGTTTAAGCACAGCTTTAAAACGGAGACAAAAAAAATGAAACGATTATGACAGTGTGCATGATCAAATATAATTTGGCTTGTCGACTGTCGTCATATGAAATGCATGACATTGGAACAAAACAAAATTCATATCTGATACAAGGTATATAAAAACACTGATATATAAACAACACTGATCTGATGCTTCGTTTTGAGCCTGATACTCTACCCACAGTTATTCTCCCTTCAGTAAAACAGTCAAACCAAGCATTTTACACAACCATGGCTGCCTACATAGGTAAGCCTACATATATTGATTCAGGAATGAAAATTAGCCTAATAAAACTTGGTCAATGGTCTATGCAAGCTTACGACCTAATCAACACGCAATTTGAGAATGTGGATCGCTCGTAATTGTACAATGCAGTTGGAAAAGTTTCTCCAACCCTCATGTAACATTTGACTTCCCAATACTCTTTTCATATACGAAAAGCATTAATAGGTACTCCGGCTATTCTTCCGTCCTTCTGACTTTGTCACGCCACTCTCGTGGCTCTTTCGCTTCCCACCTCCGGACATCCACCAGCCAGCCGTATGTGCATAGTGACAACATCCAACCAGCAGCCACCTCGTCCGACGTTTGAGACGCCCGGCAGATAGGCGGGCAGACACAGGCGGGATACAGCCAGGCAGACAGGCGGGCAGACACCAGACAGGGTGGGAGACACTCGGCAGACAGGCCGGACAGACAGGGCGCGCAGACATTGATACGGGTGCCCGAATACCCTAACGCTCTGGTCGGCTGCCCGGGCGACAGGCCGCACCTGGTTCCGGTCACGTTCGAGACACAAGTGTGCCACGCCGCAGCCCGCGCGCCGTGGCTGGGGAGCGGAGAGGGTGGGCACCGGGGCAGCTGGTCTCTGCTGCCCACTCCCCACGGCACGGCACGACTCATAGGCCCGAAGTGCTGTGAGAAGTCAGGCTAGGTGACGGATAGTGGCGAGGAGTAGGTATTACCAACTGTCGTGAGGCAACTAACTGCCTTTGCCTAATTGGTAGGAGTCCGAAGTTTTTAACTAACCAATTAAATAATGAAATCCACGTTTTTTTTGCTGATAAAAGGCGCAGAAGGCATGTACGTTACCAGTAAAACGCCTTTTGGGCGAAGAACGAGCGAGCGAGATAGTGAGCCCTGCACGTGCGGAACGGCGAGAAGGTACTTCCAACGGACTTGTGCAAAGCACCCTTCTAACCCGTCGGTAGCTGTGTGCCAAATTTGAGCGCAATCGGCCCAGCCGTTCCCGAGATCTGGAAGCGGCATTCTGCACGTGCGCACGTGCAAACGGGGTCCAAACTGACTTTTGCACGGCACCCTACTAACTGGTCCCCAACCGTGTACCAAATTTGAGCGCAATCGGCCCAGCCGTTCTCAAGATCTGGAAGCGCCCCCTGCACGTGCGCACGTGCAGTAGCACCCTAACCGCAACACATGGGAATGCATTGCCTGGTGGGTGCCTACCTGCATGACAAATTTCAGCGAAATCGCCCCAGTAATTACCGAGTTATTGAAATGGGAACAAATTTGGCACCTCTTCTTTTTTGCATTTTGCACGTGCAGTGGGGGTCACTCACATAGATCAAGAGTATCCGACCTTTGGTAGAACGGATGCAGCTACCCTTTAAAATTACCGCAAGACAATCGCCCAAGCGGCTGTTGAGATATGAGCCTCTCAAAATCATTAATTTTGCAAAACAGCTTGAACACCCTTGACTTTTCACGTGGCACGTGCCACGACGGTCACTGAGATGTATCGAAAGTAGTCAATTACCAGACTTGTGATCAGCTCAGTTGAGCCGGCTCAAAAATCAGCTCAGCTCATGAGCCGGCTCAACATTTTGCCAAATTGTTGAGCTGTGAGCTGAGCCGGCTCAGTAATGCATTGAGCTGAGCTGCTGTCTGAGCTGAGCTGAATGAGCTTGAGCTGAGCTGAGCTGAATGAACTTGAGCTGAGCTGAGCTGAGCTGAGCTGAGCGAGCTGAGCTGAGCTGAGCTGAGCTGATTGAGCTGAGCTGATTGAGCTGAGCTGAGCTGATTGAGCTGAGCTGAGCTGAGCTGAGCCGATTGAGCTGAGCTGAGCTGAGCGAGCTGAGCTGAGCTGATCCAGTTCTAATTCTTTTCAGTTCATGCTTGGAAATTAACTCCGGCTTTGATGCTTCAGCTATGAGCTAGCTATGGAGTGAGCAATTACACTGCCTTCGTGATCGCACTTAAAAATATCAAAACTCTAAAGAAATCAATAGTAATCAGTAATCACTAATCAAGCTTAATTTCTTTCATCCATATTGCATGGAAATTGGAAGACCAGTGTTATCTCCCGAACTAATGGTCCGATTTGGAAAATTCAAACGCCAATCGAAAGATCTCATCACGAACAACTAAAAATATGTAGGGGAGAGTGGGGTAATTTGGCCGCTTTTTTTAGAAAACGATATAACTTAAAATTGACGACACATTTCTGCATTTTCTCAACGCTGGCAGGTGTCGCATTCATCTTACTTTACTGGACAGTGAACTTGAAATGATAGAGTAATTACTTATATTGAAATTGTGACGCATTACAAAGGTCTGCAAGGCGGCCAAATTGCCCCACTAGCAGGGTTATTTGGCCGGGGGTGTGGGGCAATTTGGCCGGTGTTAGTTTGCGGTCGGGATTTTCTGTTATATTGCGAGTCAGCTTCAGATTCAGCAATGACGTGTGTCCTATGACGCATTTGCCGCATTTTGGAGGTTGGCTCAGGTGTCACAGAGGTCAAAATAGCCAAATTAGCGGCTCTAGATGCGATCACAGTTTTTTTACGAATAACTTTTGAAGTAATGAAGCTAGGCCAAAATTTCGAGTACCATCGTAATTTTCTCGTCAGTCCGCATCGAAAGATATATGTGTTGACCTTGAGAAGTCAAGGTCAAAGGTTGACCTCAGGTCACGTTGCATCAGGTCGCTTGACCTCAAGGTCACGTGATTTCAAGGTCATCATGCATATCATTCGATGCGCCTTGGCGAGCTGAACAGAATGAGACCATTTGTGCGGCTGTACCATTTTTATGTAAGGATTTATTAGCAGAAAACGGTTGGTAACCTTTGATGACGTCACATGCTCTTACAGTTGACCAATCGGAAGTAAGGCATCAAAGCAGTCAAAGTTGGTCATGAATCATGTCATTTATGGTACAATTGACCATGAAAACTCAGCCGTCCCAGCATAGTGACCATGAGCGCACCGGCCAAGTTGCCCCGCTAGTCCCGGCCAAATTACCCCATATTGCCATTCTGAAAATTTTTGTCTATAAAGTCATCACGGCTTTACGGAATTAGATAAAATTGCTCTTGGAACCGCTGAACACCCCCAAGAATGGCGCTATAATGTCTGAATTCGTTTTTAGCCCAAATACTACATGTTATACAACTTTGTAAACAGAAGTAAAAGTTACCATTTTCTAATGAAATTAACGTTTTATTAATTTTGAATAAAACTACGAGGGGCAAAGTTTTGACATTTGTCCTCCAGTTATTTCTACCCATGACAAATGAATAGAGATTCGAGTTATTTCACTCACTTTTATTAGACATCGTACAGGTGGGGGCGGCCAATTTACACCACCGGCCAAATTACCCCACTCTCCCCTACTTAATTTAAAGTTTGAGGTCAAGGTCAAGGTCAGGTCAAGGGTACAAATTGCAAGTTTCCACAGTATCGGCCTTGCACCGTAGTTGCCGAGGAATGGAGTCATGGACTGAGACTGATTGCCCAAAACGTGTTCTTAGGCTACCAAGACAATATTCGTTGCATACAATATCATTCCGAGGTCAAGGTCAAGGTCAGGTCAGGTCAGGTCAGGTCAGGTCAGGTCAGGTCAGTTCACCAAAAAACAAAATATAGAAAAGGGCATGTGCGACACATGTTTTATGGGTCATTTTATTCATAGAATTCAATAGGCACACTCAATAAGTGATATGGACCACATCTGGATGAATTTCAGGTCGAGGTCAGGTCAAGGTCAGGTCAAGTGAGGTCAAATTTTGAAGTTGGTTGTTAACGCCTAAAAAGGTGTCTATCTGATGCAGTTTTTCACGGCAAATCGAATGGTGCTATTTTTGTTAAGGTACGAGGTCTAGAACTTCCAAAAAATTCATTTTTTCAAACAATTGTTTGTCGTGACGTCATAAAATTTTGAATAACTCCCACGTTTTTTTAACCGATTCTTTTAAAAATTGGTATGTATGGTGCAAATGGACCACTTCTCTGACATATATTCCGTTTTTTCGATACACGCAAAATTTTGGATTTGTAATTAT